GTTTTTTTTTTTTTTTTTTTAATATTAGTACCTGTACGTTGTCTTTGTCGTCGTCGTCGTCGGAGTCGCACTGGTATTTAAAATCACTTACTCTATTCTTTTCGATCGGTTTCGACGGTCTCGCGGATCCCGTATTGATCCCCGCGGTTGTCGTCGTTTTCGTCGCTTTAAACCACCTTTGATATTTTTTTTTCACGGAATCTTTTTCGCCCGGATGGGGGGTGCATTGGGGACAATCGCAATCGCATTTGGTTGCCGCTTTCAATATGGCTTTGAGTACTTTTTGAACTTGTGGATCGCAGTAATTTTCGCAGGGATTTTTCTCGCACGTCGTCGGATCCGTGAGTTTCATCAATATTTTCCGCAGAGTTTCCTCTTCCTTGTCCGTCTGATGACAAATGCTTTTCGTGAGTAAATCTCTCAAAACTCTCGCAATCTTGTTTTTCCTCGGTTGATTCCCGTGTTGACGGCATGTACAGTCGTCGGCATCGCGATTTGTTTTCATTTTGACTTCGTTTTTACGCAAAAGTGAGAGTATGAGTTTTTTAATTGATATTTCACCGTCGTTTCTGACAAGTTCGTCGGGTGGTTCGCAAGGTGTTTTCTCGCAATCATCGTTTATCGCGTATACTTTGTTAAATGAAAAAACGTCGTCGAAAGCGAATAAAAAATTAAAAACGACGAGTAAAAAAAGTGAATTCATTACTTTTAAATTTGGACCATTTAAAAAAAAAAAAAAAAAAAATTATTAAAAAAAATTTTTTTCTTTTTTTGGTGTTTACATTTTATTTGTCAAAGTTTCAAAGCTTGAGAGCTTTTTCACTTATTTTTTTACTCTATGGTTTGCATTTTACCCATTCGTATATTCGTAAAAGGCTGTGACTTTTCTGTCTTATTCGAACGAGTCGGAATTCGATTTCAAAGTACTAAAAAAAATTTATTTTTATTTTGCAATCCAGGTACATTTCGTCAAAGTTCAAAGGTCAGCAAACGAACACTCCTCAAGGAAATATTCACAATAAGCTTGCAGTTCTCAGGTAAATTATTATTATTATTATTATTATTTTATAAAATAATTATTGTGGTAATCGGGATTGGTTACGGTCGTACGCTTTTGTTAAAATGATCGATCGATCGATCGATTGATTGATTGATTGATTGATTGATTTTTTTTTTTTTTCAAATGTTTTCAGTTTAAGATGCCTTTCCTTGCTGTATTTAAAATTGTTTAAAATGAGTAAGCAAGAAGTTAAAGAACAAAGGAAAATATTGTTAGACTACGGTACAAAAGTTTCGGCGCAACCGGTGGAAACGATATGCGGGGGTCACGGTACTCCATCACCGAATAGTCCGACTCCCTCACCTGCCGGATCCGTCGGTAGCGTGGGTTCTCAATCTTCCGGATACAGGTTCGTATTATTTTTTTTGTATAATTAAAGAGTCATCGACGAAACGTCAGACATTAACTGTTTGTTGTTGTTTGTGCAAATGCAGTAGCGGAGAATTGAGAGCAGCTCCGCACGTTCCCGTTCCCGTTCAAGTTCACAGTGCTCACATGAAACAAACGACTCATTTTGGACTCCTTTTATCTTGTCACGATCTCTGGGATCAAGCCGATCAATTGGTTCACGCCGGAAAGCACAAGGGTAATTATTATTATTATTATTATTACTACCGGGATTTATTTATAAATTTTTAACAAAAAAATTTTTCCTCCCTTACGGAAAATTTTCAGATTTTTTCATTGAATTGGAGCGTGAATGCGGGCCTTTAACACTTCACAGTTCCCTCAACGATTTAGTTCGATACGTACGAAAAGGAATTCAAAGGCTTAAAACGTTATGACCTTTCCTTAGTTTTCCGGAAATTTGGGACGATTCGATTTGCGAATGCAAGTAAAAAAAGGACAAAAAAAAAAACAAACAATAATAATCCGAAAAAAAAAAAATCATAACAATCAATAGATGAGGAACGAACAGTGTGTCATTATCATTTATTATTATTGTAATTATTATTATTATTATTATTATTATTATTATTATTACTAGCATCAAAGGTCGCCATCGTCATCATCATTATCATCAGTAAATCATTTTTTAGGTTTTACAAATTTATATACACGTGTGTATGTAAATATATATATATACAAACAAACGCGAGAGTTTGCGGGAAAAATTACCGAAATTTATACGTGTGAAAATCGTTTTTTTTTTTTTTTTTCCGGTGTGCGTGTGCGTGAGTGCGTGAGTGAGTGCGTGTGTGTAAATCGTTAATTATTTTAAAATACATCGACCACGAAATGGTGGAATGGAATCGTCGATTGATTGATTGATTGATCGATCGTTAAAATTTAATTTAAAATTATCATTAATGTTTTTATTATATTTTTTTTTGTAATCATCATTATTATCATAATTATTATTATTATTATTTTATTATTATTTAAATTGCGAATCGAAATATACATATACGAAGCGATATATACAAACGATCATTATTATTATTATTATTTATATTTATTTACCGTTAGTCAATGAGGGGGCAAAAATCACATTACGGTGAGAAAAAGGTTTTATTTTTTTAAAGTAAACGCGACGGTTACATCCTTTACACATCCTTTAAAGGTTTTGTAAATTTTTTTTCCTATTACGAAAGTGAGAGAGTGAGAGAGAGAGAGAGATGTATTCTCAAGGTAGGAGGGGAAAGGGGTGTGAGAAAAGGATGGATCAAGTACGTTAAGGCGTCGTATATATTACGTCATTCTAAATTTATTAATTTATATTATTTTATTTTATTTTATTATATTTTTTCCGTTATTTATCATTTTATATAAATTTTTATAAAATAATAATAATAATAATAATGATGATGACGATGATGGAGGAGGAGGAGAGGGGAGGAGACAAGGAAAAAAAATTTTAAATAAGAAAAAAACGTCATCGTCGTCGTCGTCGTCATCATCAATTTAAAATATTTAAAAATCGATCGACAAATTTTTTATTATCATTATTATTATCATTATTATCATTATTATTATTATTATTACCGTTGATAATATATATATATATACAAATGTTTTTTTATATTTTTTTAAATGCGTGGAATTATCAAAATGTTATTGACCATTTGTTGTTCTATCTTAATAAAAACAATCAATAAATCAAATCATATGTTTAACGTCTTACATACATACATACGGTTTTATATTATTATTATTATTATTATTATTATTATTACTATTAATATTACATAATATTTTTATATTTCACGAAAAGGCGCGTGACGTAATAATTTAAATAAAATAAAATAATTTTAAAAAAATCAAATTGAATTTTTTATGTATTTTTAATGGAAAAGTTTTTTTTTTTTTTTTTTGTTTTTTCCACTCATAAAAATTTTTAATGTTTTCGATTTTTTAAATATTATTATTATTATTATTATTTTTTTTTTTTCTGTGATTAATTTTATTATTATTATTAATATTATTAATATTTTTCAATCGTTATTCGGTATGTAATAGACACACGTATATATATTTAGCATAAATATTTTTATTTCTCTCTCTCTCTCTCTTTCTATTTATTTATCTATTTATCTCACTCTTTCACACACACGCACACGCGCACATAAGCAATGTATTAAAAAAGTTTTTTTTATTTTTTTTATAAAAATTTTTACAATAAATCGTGTGATGATGATGATGATGATGATGTTGATGATGATAATTGTTATAATTTTAATGATAATACTAATAATAATAATAATAATAATGATAAGGAAAGTTAAAAATGCAAAGAAATCTATAAGCAATTGTTTAAATTTAATAATAATAATAATAATAATAATAATAATAATTTATTTAAATAAATAAAATAATGACAAATAAAAAAAAAAAAACAAAAAAAATTCGGAAAAAATTATTTTTTAATAAAATTATTATAATCAAATCAATTATTAAAATCAATTAATTGATAATTAGTAATAATAATAATAATAATAATAAATATGATGATGATTACGATAATAATAATAATAAATAATTCTGTTTTTTTTTTTTATATATATATATTTAAAATAAAATTTAAAAAAAAGTAAAAAAATTTTTTTAGAATTAGAAAGGAAAGAAAAAAGAAAAATGAAAAAAAAAAAAAAATGAAAATATTATTATTATTATTATCACTATTAAACACGTTATTATTATTATTGTTATTATTATTACTATTATTATTATGTATTATTAAATTTTTTTTGTATATATATTTTTGTACATAAAAATTTATTGCGCTGTATAGTTAATAATTAGGGCCAAAATTATTATTATTATTATTATTATTATTATTATTATTATTATTAATTTTCCCCCCCTTTTCCCTCGTCTTTTATTTTTCTTATTAATCAAACAAACGACAGACAAACAAACAAACAAAAAATGAATTTTTAAAAAAAATTTTTTTCGATTTTTTTTTTTTTCGTATTTTATTTTAAATAATTTAGTTATTTAATGTGACAATTATTATTATTATTATTATCATTATCATTATCGTTATTATTATTATTATTATTATTATTATTATTATTGAAATGATAATAAATGAATTTTTTTTTTTTTTTTAAATAAAGAAAAAAAAAGAAAAATTTTCAATGAAATTAATTATTAATTTTTTTTTAAAAAAAAGTTCGAATCCAAATCGTGTGAATGATTTTACCTAAAACGAATGAATGATTAATCGATCGATCGATCGATCGATTGATTGATCGATGGATCGAAAAAACAAATAACGTCGTCTTAGCTCGAGGAGGGGAAATTAAAATGACGCGAAGATGAAGATTCTCATAAGAACAAAAGGGGAATTTCAAAGGAAAATGGGAAAACTAACGACAACAAGACGAAACTAACGGACAAATGGGAAAACAGAAAAAGTTTAATGGAATAAATGGTTCAGATACAAATAAGAAAATGCTACCGTTTGGAAAATTGAAAATAAAAATGAAAGATGGGAAGGAGAAAACTATTTAAAAGTTCGACAAGTCTAACGAATTTTCAAATCGCGGTCAAAAACAATCGATCGTTTAATTTCCGGTTGTTCGATTCCCGCCAAATACCATTATTCAGTAATAACACCTCCATTAGAATAACTGTCGTGTATATGGAATGAATGGAGTCGTCAAGAAATGGTACAACCACAATTCAAGATTACTAAATAAACGAATTAGGAATGGATTAATGGAAGCAACAATTATTAACACAAAGGTAAGTAATAAATAAATAATCAAACAATTTTATTATTCCAAAAAAACAAACAAACTTTTTATCACGATATATATATTATATCAATAAAATTTTTTTATACATAAATATACATTTATAACAAACAAAAAGAATTATTAAAGGCAAGAAGAATAAGAGTATTCGTTTGTACAAATAGAACAACCACAGAGCAGAGACACATATAAAAACAAAGCGTTTTTTTTTTCTTTAAATTCGAAAATTTTATCGTTTTATTAATTCGGTGTGTTTATTGATCAGGTTTTCCATTTGCAAAAGCTAAAATTTTTTTTGTTAATTGACACAAATTATTTTTTATATAATATATATATTAATTATTATAAACATTCACCACGAATAAAAACTATAAAAGTTTAATAATTATTAAAAAAATATATATATTTATATAACTTGTTTGTTTGTTTGTACAATAATAATAATATTAATAATACTTTGTTTGAAACAAAATGAGACATTTATTTATTAAGAGATAGATTTTGCAAGCGACATTTTGTTTTTTTATTAAAGCTACTACACGATGAGAGATGATGATTAACTGAGAGAAATACTGTTTATTTGTTTTGTAAATGGTCGATTAATTTTATTAAATATCTGGTAAAATATCTGGTATGAGATATTTGCATAATTCTTCTGTAGAATTAACAAAATATACTTTTCCAGAAGTGTTTTCATCCAACCTGAAAAAAATAATTTTTGTTTGTAATAATGGGGGGGAGGGGGGGGGAAAAGATAGTAAATGAATTGTTGAATGTTAAATATTTACCATCCTTTAATGACGACCCAACATGTGTTAAAAAGTGGTGGTGCATTTTTTATAAGACAAATCCCTAATCTTTCTGGATAATGTTTCGATAATAACCAAATTAAATTATTAACCAACTGATAATCCATGCAACTTAATCCGAAATCTTTCAAATCGAAAACAATACATAAATTATCGATAACTTCTTGAAAACATTTTTTACATGCTTCTTCCTAAACGAAAAAGAAAAAACAATTTTTTAATTGATGTTGATCTTATTAATTTATTTTTGAATGGATAAATTTTATTTACCAGACAGTAAACTATAAATTTTGTTAATTCATCAATTTGTCTATCATTTACATTGTGATTTTTAGCTGGTATGTATATAACTGGACGACCAGCCATATCTCTGTGTCTGAGAACTCTCGCTTTATTACCATCATGATGTTTTTTTATTTCTGGACAGTCTAAATTTAATTTATCAACATTATATTCTACTCTCCATTTGTTGGTTTTGAGAATTGCCTGAATGAAAAAAAATTTTTATTCAAAACACTTTAAATAAATTTAAACCAAGGGTTGTAACTGTAATACCTGAAAAGCAGCATCGACTGTCTTAAATGCTCTAAGATATCTTTTTAGTGAGAAGTCATCGTGAAATTGTGATGGATCTGCATCGACTATAAGTTTCATTCTATCTTTCAATTCTTTTAAATCTTCTTCTTTAACTGGAACTTGATTTGCTACTGAATTTGCCATATTTGATATTTAATTCATTCAAACAGTTTCTTTAATTTATAAATGAGTGACGTTTTTACAAGCTTTAGAGATAAGAATAAAAAACTTTTATTTAATGTTATGACGGTTTATTTTAATAATGATTACATCAGAATTTATTTTAACGATTATTTAAATATAGACACCATTGACTATTTCTGTTAAACAGATGTTTTAAATAATTAATTATTATTCATTTGTAAAAATCATAACAGATTAAATTATTTAATAAAAAAAAGACGATATTAAATGAATTTATTTTCAATTGGAAAAACAGAGTTACATTCTTTTTTTATCGATAATCATATGACTTTTAAAAAAAGTTTAAAAACTTTGTATTTATAATGTTTATCAACTTTTATATTTTGCCATTTTAATTCTGCTTTTTATCAAAATCGTTTTATTGGTCGGAAAAAAGAAAATGGCGCCACGATCAACCGGAAATCAGATTTCATTGACGTAACATCCCGTCTCCATTTTGTCATCGTATGGTATTAAAATTATAAAAAAATGTCGTAAGTAAAATTATCGAAAATAATCGATTTTATTTTTATTTAATTATTAATGAATGTTTTAAATATTATTTTTTTATTCGCGTAATTTTATAATTTCGATGAGTTTTTTCGTTTAAAATTAATATTTTAACTATTTTTATGAAATTAAATATTAGTGTGCCTGTCACTTAATTTTCGTTTTGGTTTTTTTAGATCTAAAATTTCCAAAGACACTCTTTACGAGTGTGTCAATGCAGTATTGGATCACTCAAAGCAAAAAAAGAGGAAATTTTTGGAAACAGTTGAAATTCAAATTGGATTGAAGAATTATGATCCACAAAAAGACAAGCGTTTTTCTGGAACAGTAAAGTACGTTTTACCTGTGCTTTAACCATTTTAGAGATATAATTTTTTTTATATGAATGACTGTTAAAAATCTCTAAAATGCTTAAATGTATCAGGAAGCTGGATATTATTAATTATCTGGCGGACCTTTACCCAGGGTCTTAAAATAATTGGGGAGGAATCCCTTCCTAGGGACTCCGACCCTCTTAATGCTTGTTTTTTTAATTTTTGACTGATTTGAATGAAGATTTCGGTTAAGGTGAAGTTATTCTGTTCAATTTTGTTATAATATTGATTGAAATAATTTCATCGAGATATTGGATTTGTTTTTTTTTTTTTTTCATAAACACGTGCTTATTCTAAAAAGATAGCGTCTAACTTAAAATTTTTTATTCCTTTTGTATAGATTGAAACATATTCCAAGACCAAAAATGCAAGTTTGTATTCTTGGTGATCAACAACATTGTGATGAAGCTAAAGTAAATAATTTGCCTTACATGGATGTTGAAGCACTCAAGAAATTAAACAAAAATAAAAAATTAGTTAAAAAGTTAGGTGAGTTAATAAATTTGTTATTTGCTTTCAAGTTATTATTATCGATAAAATATTTTGTTTGTTATCTAAATGTTAAATTAATCATTTGCAGCTAAAAAATATGATGCCTTCCTTGCATCCGATGCTTTGATTAAACAAATTCCAAGGCTTTTAGGTCCTGGACTCAACAAGGCTGGTAAATTTCCTGGTCTTTTATCTCATCAAGAACCAATGATGCAAAAAGTTGACGAAGTCAAAGCAACGATCAAGTTTCAAATGAAAAAGGTTAGATAATATACTTTTAAAGCACAATAGTTCTTTCTTATAAGTCTTTTAATAATTTCTATTTTTTCCACAGGTACTTTGTCTGTCAGTAGCCATTGGTCACGTAGGTATGACACCTGAAGAATTAGTTCAAAACGTTCATTTGTCCATCAACTTTTTGGTTTCACTTTTGAAAAAACATTGGCAAAATGTTCGTTCTTTACACATGAAATCATCCATGGGACCAGTTCAGAGATTGTATTAATAAAAACATTTTTGAATTTTAATAAACTGATAAAAAAAAATTTTTTATTTTCATTTTTTTTATTTAACTTTACATAAGAACGATTGATTAACAAATATTGTTTTATAAAATTGACTTAACATTTTTTTTTAGTGTCACACAATTGAAATCGCACTGCATGCTTAGATTTCACTCGATAATAATAATAATAATAGAAAAGTAAGAATTTTATACATTTACTCATTGGATAATAATTAAAATGGCAATTTTTTATTTGGTGATATGAAACAAAAGTTAAACAATTTTACGTACAGGAAATTTTCGTTATAGCGTTGAAATATCGAAAAAAAAAACCGAGAATTTCACACTTTTTGTGACGAGATGTATTCAGTATGGATCTCAGATTCAAGTTGGTACAATTAAAAAATTTTGTTTTTTTTTTTATTAAAAACTTTTAACACGACCTTGCCTTCAATTGTTTTCAATTATACCAAAAGATAAAAAACATTCGTAAACAAAAAAATTTATCGCAGTTGTTAGCTATAAGGAAGAAAAAAGAACAAAATAGAAAAAAAAGGAAACAAGCTTTGAAAAGTTATTACAAATAATTACTTAATTCGTAACGAGTTTTTTTTTTTTGTAAACGTCTTTATTGTAAGTATTTATCACAAGTTAAAAAAAAAAATTTGTAAAAACTCAATTAATATGTTGAGTTAAAGGAAAAACAGATTTTTTTTTTTTTTTTTTCAATTGTATAAATTTTGACTTTTGTATAAATTAAAAAAAAGTTTTAAACAATGGCAAACAAGACAAACAAATGAATGAATTTTTTTTTTTTTTTTTTTTTTTGGATAATTTTATTTAAACTTTGATAGCGAATAATGACAAAAAAAAAAATTTTAATTTTTTTTTCCTGTAATTTTATGTAAAAATCATTTTTTTGTTGCCATTTTTTTTTTTTTTTTTTTAACGAAGGGTCAAGACAAAAATTTTAAATCAAAAATATAAAAAAATAAAGTGCATCAATTATTATTAATCATACTAATTAAAATAGTTTTATAATAATAATAATAATAATAATAATTGAATTTTTAAAGGAGATTTTAAAATGAAGTCGAAAAGTGTCAAAAATGATGATGAAATCATCATTGAAGAAGATTATAAAAAAGATAATTTTTCATTTTTTTATTTAGTAAGTTTTTTTTTTTGGGAAAATTGATTGGAAAAGTTAAAAAAATTGTATTCTTCTCTTTTTCTATTTAATAATAATTTATTTAAATTTCAGTTTAAATACAGTACAACATTGGAAAAATTATTATTATTTATAGGAATTGTATTTTCCATATCTTCAGGTTTTATAATGCCGTTTGTTTTGATTGTTTATGGAGAATATTTAACGGTTTTGATCGAAAGGCACATGCCTAAAAATACGACAATAGTTAATGATAAATTATACATGACTTGGTTTAAAAACGTAGAGTAAGTAATTAAACATAAATACGAATCCATTAATTAATTTTATATAATTTTAATTTTTTTTTTTATTTTTTTAAAGTTGGAATGAAACAAATAACGAAAGCAAATCCGATGCTATAAGAAACGATTCTTTGGCTTTTGGTGTACTATTCATAATAATATCGATTGTACAATTTTTAGTATCTTTTATGTTTGTCACGTCTTTAAATTATTATGCTCTACTTCAAACATCAAAACTCAGACGTAAATTTTTCAAATCGATATTAAGCCAAGACATGAGTTGGTTCGATAAAAACAACACAAATACTCTTCCGAGTAAAATGATAGAGTAAGTTTTTAAACGCCATTTTAATTTTAATTTTTTATTTATTTATTTTTTTTTTTTTGGGTATCAGATCCGTGGATAAAATACAAGAAGGAATCGGTGAAAAAATAGGAATATTTATTAATTTAATGACGAGTTTTTTGTCTTGCGTCACGATGGCTTTTTTCTACGGTTGGAAATTAACGTTGGCCATGCTTGCTTGCGCTCCCATTTTAACAATATCTCAAGCTATGATGTGTAAAATTCAAACGAGTTTAAAAGAAAAAGAAATGGAAGCTTACGGTAAAGCCGGTAGCGTGGCACAAGAAGTTATAAACGCGATAAAAACCGTCGTCGCATTTAACGGTCAAGAAAAAGAAGTGAAAAGGTAAATCGTCACGTGATCCCTTTTTTTAAAATATTTTTTTAATTTTTGTAATTTTTTTTTTTTTTTTGTAAATAGATTTAACGATGAATTGATCGATTCGGAAAAAGCTGGAATAAAACGTGGATTATTAACTGGCGTGGGTGGAGGTTTGATGTGGTTTGTCACATTTGCATGTTACGCTCTCGGTTTTTGGTACGGTACTTATTTAATATTAATATCGAGATCGGAAAATAATTCTGAATACACGCCTGCAACTCTTCTCATCGTGCGTTTTTTTTTTTTTTTTTTTTCAAAAAATTATTATTATTTTTTTTTTTTTGTTTGATTCGTTGATAATTATTATTATTAATAATAAATTTTTAGACAATGTTTGGAGTCGTGGTCGGAGCGATTAATCTCGGTCAATCGGCTCCTTTTTTCGAAGCATTTACCGCAGCCAAAGGAGCAGGTTCATCCGTTTTTAACATTTTAAAAAATTCCACGGAAATCAATTCGTTTTCGGATAAAGGAAAAATTTTACCTTTCGTAAAAGGAGAAATTAAATTTAAAAATGTTTTTTTCAAGTATCCGTCGAGACCGGGAGTCGAGGTTAGATAAAAAAAAAAGAAAGAAACCGCCATTGTTTTAATTTCAAATTTCAAATTTTTTTATTATTTATTTTTTTACAAAGGTTTTAAAAAATTTTAATATTAATTTAAAATCCGGAGAAGTTGTTGCATTGGTTGGAACTTCTGGTTGTGGTAAAACGACAACTTTGCAGCTTCTTCAACGTTTTTACGATCCGACGGAGGGTTCGGTAAGTTTATTAATAAAAAAAATAAAAATTTTTTTAAATAATTTAATTTATTATAAAAATTTTTCTTTTTTTTTCCGTTCAGATCGAATTGGATGGGATAAACATAAAAGATTTAAATTTACCCTGGTTACGTCAGCAAATTGGAATCGTGGGACAAGAACCGGTATTATTTGCCACGACGATTTACGAAAATATAAAATTCGGTTTGATGTCTGCAACGAAAGAAGATGTCGAAAATGCTGCCAAGTTAGCCGATGCCCACGATTTCATAATGAAACTTCCAGACGTAATGATTTACTTTAAAAAAATTTCACGTGATGTGTATTTTACTCTATATTTATGTTACCTAAAAATTCTTTTAGGGATATCAAACGATGCTCAATTCGAAAGGTGCTTTGATATCTGGAGGACAAAAGCAAAGAATTGCAATTGCCAGAGCATTGATTCGAAATCCTAAAATTCTTTTGCTGGATGAAGCAACGAGTGCATTGGATTCTTCCAGTGAAAATAAAGTTCAAGAAACTTTAAACAAAGCTGTAAAAGTAAATAGTTTTGAATAGTCAAAAAAAAAAAAATTTTTTTAATGTAAAAAAAAACGAAAAAAAAAACTTTTCTTAGGGTAGAACAACTTTGATAATAACTCATAAACTTTCGACGATATCAGAAGCGGATAAAATTATCGTTGTATCGAATGGAGTCGTGGTAGAAGAAGGAAAACACGACGATTTATTAAAACTCAACAACGGACATTATTTTAAATTTTTACAAATGCAAAAAAAACACGAGGAAAATAACATTTTGGATTTAAGTACGAATCAAATCTATTATTTTTTTTTAAATGATGATAATTTAAATGGATTTTTTATTTAAAATTTTCTTAATGATGTTTAGATTTCGACGGTGATGATGATGGTGATGTTGATAAAGGATCGGAAACGAATAATTTAAATAATGAAAAATTACAACCGGTTTTGGAAAATGATTTCCCACGGAAAAATGTCGAAAAAGAAAATTTGAAAAAGGTTTCTTTTTTAAACATATTCAAATATAACAAATCGGAATGGTGGGCAATTTTTATTGGAATTTCATGTACGATAATCGTCGGAGCGAATCCTCCGGTTTTATTATTTATTTACGCTGAACTTTATAAGGTTATTATTATTATTATTAATTGGGAGGTGGGTGTGCGCGTAACGTCGGAAGGAAGGGGAAAAATTAAAACTTTAGGTTTTTTCAGATTCTTTCATACGAGGATTCGAATTATGTTTTACAAATATCCGGTTATTATGCAGGCGTCCTCTTCGTTTTGGGAATAGTTTTTGGAGCGGCAAGTTTTTTACAATCTTACATGCTCAATTATTCCGGAGTTTTGCTCACGACACGTTTTAGAAAATTACTTTTCGCTGCCATACTACGACAGGTAATAAGAGAAAAAAAAAAAAAAAAAAATTATCGACGACGAGCAATAAGAAAATTATTGGATGTTTAGGAACCTGGATGGTTCGACGACGAAAACAATCAACCGGGTTCACTTTGCGTTAAATTATCGAGCGACGCATCGAAAATTCAAGGTGCTTCAGGTTCAAGAATAGGTGTCATAACGCAATCTCTCACTACGATTTTATTGGGTGCCGCGATTGGATTTTTTTATTCGTGGAAATTGTGTTTGGTCACTTTAGTATTCGCGCCGACAATTTTTTTCGGAATGTATTTCGAGGGTAAAATAATCGAAGGACAATCGGTTTTAGAAAAGAAATCACTTGAAAAAGCTGCCAAAGTAAGTCTTGATTTTTTTTTTTTTTTTTACCACGATTTGTTTACTTTTTTTTTTAAATAATTATTTGTATGTGAACGAAAAATATTTTAGGTAACCGTCGAAGCCATATCCAACATTCGAACCGTCATGAGTTTGGGAAGGGAAAAATATTTTTTAGATTGTTACGATAGAGAATTATTGACGAGCGAAGAAAAAATGAAATCGAGATGTAAAATAAGAGCTGGAATTTACGCTTCGAGTTTTGCCGCGACATATTTAGGCTACGGCATATCACTTTGGTACGGTGGAATATTAATATCGAACGAAGAGCTCGAATATCAAAATGCCATCAAAGTAAGACGATAATAATTTAAAATAATATCTCTTAAAATTAAACTTTTTAATTGTGTGGGTGTGCCATGTAAATGAAGGTATGTGAAATATTACTCTTCGGAATGTATCTTTTGGGACAAACATTAGCATTCGCGCCAAATTTCGGAGAAGCTAAAATATCCGCGTCTAGATTATTCGAAATATTAGAAAGGGATTCAAATTTAAAAAATGGAGGAGATTTGATAAAGGAAAAAAATTGGAAATGCAAAGGAAAAATTAATTATTCTCAGGTACGGAAGGAAAAACGAAAAAAAAATTGTTTTAAATTTTATATTTAATATCACGTACAATTAATTTCATTTAACAATTATTATTATTATTTAAATTTATAATTTTATATGCGTATTTTTAATAAAAATTTCAGATAGAATTTTCATATCCTAAACGACCTAATGTAGAAATATTAAAAGGCTTGAATTTAAATGTAGAAAATTGTAGTTCGATAGCAATTGTCGGACCGAGCGGATGTGGTAAATCAACTCTATTACAATTACTACAAAGGCTATACGATCCGAAAAGCGGAAATATTTATTTGGATGACGAAAATATATCCCGTTTTGTAATTTCTGCATTAAGGCATCAAATTGGAATAGTTTCACAAGTAACGTATTATCACCAACACCACCATCACCACAAATACCGTCGATTACATATATTTGATTTTTCAGGAACCCGTTTTATTCGACAGAACAATTTTCGAAAACATTGCCTACGGTGATAATTCGAGAAAAATAACGGAAAGGGAAATAATAAACGCAGCTAAAAGTGCAAACATACACGATTTCATATCGTCATTACCATTGGGATACGAAACAAAAGTCGGAACGGGGGGCGGTCATTTATCCGGAGGACAAAAACAAAGAATAGCCATAGCTAGAGCGTTGGTTGGTAGTAAAAAAAAAACAAAAAAAGGCACTTGATGATTGACGCGTGATTAAACGCGTGCGGGAAAAGTAAAAAAAAAGTTTAATTTTTTAATTACAGATAAAAAATCCAAAAATACTTTTATTGGATGAAGCGACGAGCGCGTTGGATGCTGAAAGCGAATCCGCCGTTCAAAATACGTTGGATGAAGCGTCAGCAGGACGAACGACGATAACGGTAAGTCACAGATTAAGCGCTATTAAAAAATCGCAAATTATTTATCGTTTGAAAGATGGCCGATTGCGCGTTTTAAATCGGAAAAATAATATTTAACTTACGACCGGACAATACATACATACAAATTCCCCATAGAGTGTTCGCGGGCGGGCGCGCGCGCACGCACACACACACACATACAAATAACACGTGTCATCACGTGTTTTTTCTAAACGAAAAATATTTACATGTACGCTCAAAAATATATAAAAAAAAAAAAAATTCTATAATAAATGCGAATAACTTTATTTTTTTTTTCATCTTCTTTTCTTCTTCTTTTCCTTCTTCTTCTTCTTTTCTCCTCTTTCTTCTTCTTTTCTCCTTCTTCTTCTTCTTATCAATCATCTTAATTTATATATACGTAATAATAATTTCTATTTTTTTTTTTTTTTAAACTTTCTTTAAATTAATTAAATAATCTAATAATAATAATAATACATTATTAACTATTATATATATATATATATATATATATATTGAAAGCGTAAAAAAGAACAAAAAAAAAAAAACGTTTTTCCCGCCAAAATAATAATAATAATAATAATAATAGTTAACGAACAAAGAATTCTAATTAGATTAATTAATCCGTTAAATAACTCGGAAAAAAAAAAAGAAAAAAAAATTCGTTATATATATATATATATAATGGTGATGATGATAATAATAATAATAATTTTATAATAAAAAAAAATCGCCCTAAATATAATTAACTGCATTTTTTTCTTCTTTTTAGGGGAGGGGTAGGGGTAGGGGGGCGGGGCGAAACGTTAAAATAATTTCAATTTTTTTCCAACTTTAATATTTATATATATATGTGTGTGTGTCTGTAAACAAAAAGACAAAGTTTCCCTTTTTTTTTTTTTTTCTTTTTGCTTGTTTATTAGAGAGCAACCATTTTTTTTTTTTTTTTAAATAGGAAAATAAATTTGTATGTCGGGAACAACAAACTCGTCGTTTTTTTCTTTTCATTACGACGGCGATGACACGGTCATGATCCCTGACGTTGTGGTTGTTGTTGTTGTTGTTGTTGGTTTTTTTTCCTTGTTGCTCTCTTTTGTTAGTTTTAATCAGTAACCGTATCGATCCTGGCAAAAAATTGAAACGACAAAATTAGAAAAGAGATAAAAACAAACGAACAAACAAACGAACTAACAAAACAAACGAACAAACAAACAAACGAACAAACAAAACAAACGTACTTGTATGGACGAAAGAACTCCGTTCGCCAACGAACTTATTTTTCCCGCGACTTTTGTCACTCCCTGTCTCACGCTTTCTTTCACGTCGTCCAAATCCGGAGCGCTTATAGACGATGCTAAACTCGATTGATGTTGAGAATTGGAATATCTGTCTCCGAAAAAATCAGCCGAAGAAATGCTTGACGATCCTTCGAATCGTGACAGATTCGCTTTACGTTCCCACTTTAAAAAAAAATAATCGAACGGAACTTGAACAATCGATCGAATTAAATCGATTAATCGATAAATATTCGAGTAGATTTTTTTGCTTACGTTATTGGACGATGAATCTCCGAAATATTGATCGGAAGATATGGCTTTTGCGTTACCGAATTTTTTTTGAGCGTCGTCGCATGTCGATGCCGGAAGTGGCGGATCCCTTCGACTGCTACTACTTCGACTACTACTCTCCGATTCTTTAACCGGATTCGGTTTTTCATCGAAACTAGAACTGAACGACATGGCATCACTTGTCGAATTCCATCCTTTGTAAGACCTATCGCGGTGAAAGAGAGAGAGAGAAAATTCATTTTCGAACTCGGTTCAAAACGGATGAGAATAATAGTATATGATGACTCACGTGAAATCTTTTACTCCCGAATCTTGATTCGTTTTAGATTCTTTACTATTACTAGTGTATCGATCTCTCCCGGAATTTCCATCGAAAAAAAGGGAATCTAAATTTTTATTTTCGTTTCTGTACATTCCGAAATTGCATGAATTAAAATTGTAATCGTCGAAAAATTCATCGTTGTTATCGGAATCGAAATTATATTTGAAACCGGATGACGACGACGACGATGACGGTTTCAATGTGTTTTCTTGCTCTATGGTTTGCATGTCGCTCAGTGCCGAATGACTTATTCCTCTGGAAACACACAAAAAATCAAATCGATGATGAATAGGAAAAATTTTAAAATGTTTTGTCTCCGCCCCCTTCTCTTCTTCCTCCGCCCCCTTCTCCTCCTCCTTAATCTCCGCCCCGTTCCGCCCCGCCCCTTTTCAAAACTCACGATTTGACGGAAAATCCCATTCCGAGCCTTTCGATTTGTTGAGCTTTTGTCGGATTCGTTTGTTTCAATTTTTCCTCTTCCTTTTTCTGTTGAAGGCTCAAATCCTTGTAAGCCAATCTCATCGAAGCCATTTGTTTCTGTTCTTCTTCGGCTGTTTTCTCCGCTAGCAATTTGGCTTCTTCTGCTTGTCTCTCTTTTAATTGGTCCATTATTTCCGCTTCCCGTTCGATTTCCGCAAAATTGGTTTTTATTTTTTGAGCTCCCAATTTTCCAGTTTTCCTCGCGCCCAACTTAAAAAAAAAAAAAAAAAAAAAAAAAAAAAAAAAAAAAACAGTAACAAAATTTTTTTTTCTTTTTCTTTTTTCGGGGGGGGGGGGGTGGGGGGGCGTGGGAGGGAAAGGGTAAACTTACACCGGATTTCGCCTGGATTTTTCTACCACCTATCAACGATTTCCTTTCACCTTCCGGAGCGGAAACTTGGGCCGATAAATTAACCGTCGGAGCATCCCTATTGAACCCGCCATCTTGACTAAGATTAGCATTTACATTAGCATTATTATTATTGGGTTTATTTATGCGACCCCCGAAATCGTTTAAATTATGACTCGTGAATGATTCATCGAAATTATCATTGGCCGTTGAATGCTCTTCGAAAAAATCAATTTCCTTAACAACATTATCTTCCGGTTTTTCATTGCTCGGTTCCAAATGCAACTGAAAATTTCAATTATAAAATTATTATTATTATTACTGTGTGCAATCGGCAAATAAAAACAAAATCTACAAAAAAAATAAAAAATAAAAAAACGGTATCAAGTTAATTTTAAAATACAAACGATGGTTATTTTCATTATTGTTTGTTTGTTTGTTTGTTTGTTTGTTTTCTTTTTTTTTTTTTTATACACGTGTCAAAATTTGTTTATTTTATTTTATAGCATAAATCATGCAATTAATATAAACATAATGTTTGAGAACTGATTCGAGTGACAAACAAAAATCAAATCACACTTTTTGCAATATGAGAATAATTTTTTTTTGAATATATATTTAATTAAAAGGAATGATTATTTATTTTCAAACAAACAGCTCACCATATTATTTTGATGGTTTTTTCCAAAACATGATTTGTTGTTATGATCATTTAGGTCAAACTGCGATGAAATAAAAAGAAATATATATATAAATAATAAAAAAAAAAAATTTTGAGCTGTTTTAATATAGACTAACTGACGATGATATTTCAATAGAAAATGGCCTAACTCTATTGCTAAACATTTTTTATCTCTTTTTTGATAATGATAATACTATGTTTTCCTCGAATAGGTTATTGCTCTTAAATTTAGTCGATGAAAATATAGTTTTTTTATTATTACCTTGGTTCCATGAATTTTCATTGCTTGAACAGCAGCTTGTTTTAATTTGTCTTTATATAATTGAGCAGCTCTAGAAGTGTATTTCTGTTGGGCATCTGTAGTGTGGCAATTGTGTTGTCTAAAAAAATTAGCCTGAAAGTAATATGTAGAAGGTTTCGTTTGAATCGAAAACATTTTTTACGAAATGCAAATGTGAATAATGCAATTGATAATGTTATATTAAAGCATATGTTAGGTCATGATGCAATTGTTTCAGTGTCATAGTAATGAGTTTAATATGTTTTAATTGAGAATTTGAAATTGTAAATGCTATTTAGTTTAGTTTCATGACACCTACAGCATTTGCATTGCCTCCTAATTGCATTTGACGTAATTGAACCCAAGTCCAATTTGTATCAAGCTGTGTGGATCTAACGAATGTTACATGAACGCCAAGGCTTCTGTGAACTGCCGAACAATCGATACATATAAAAACTCCATATGTTACGCTGGACCATGTTGGGTTTTTAGCATTGCAATCGAAGCAACTCTATAAAATTATCATTATTATTATTATTATTAAAAGATGATAAATTTACTTGTAGTAAATTCTAGTTCATTGTAACCTTGAATTTAATTTTAAATTTATAATAAATTAAAATTCGTGAAATTAAACTAATAAGATCGGAAAGTATTATTTTCAATTAAAATCATACCTTATTTGTGGCAACTGCCCTTAATTTTTTAAAAATTGCTTGGATATCACTTTTAGAAGGACTATTGTCAGCCATTTTTTGACTTGTTGTCAATTTTAAATATTTTTTGTTGGTAAAACTGATGATGATACAGTGTGTGTGTGGGGCTTTTTATTAAACTTAAGAATGTTGTTATTCTTTCAAAATTTAAACAATAGGCTTATTTAGCCTGTAATAAATGTTATCATTTTTATTTATTAATTATTATTTACAATCAGTTATCATTTAGTATTTTAAATAAAATTTAATTTTTAATAATTACTAATTTATTTTTATTTTGTGTACCTTCATTATGATGTTGATCTGTATAAAACTTGTTGATTTACGTAAATTTTAATCAAACTTGCTTTTAAAGCATTTTAAAGTTATTATTTTAATATTTATTTAAATTATTTTCCTTTGGGAAAACGTATAAAAACGCTTAAAATATGTTTTTTACAATTAATTTATTTAAAAATTTTAATTAAATCGATAGATTTTATCCACGCATAAATTACATGTATATATAAGATTAATCTTACAATAACAAGTATTAATTATCAATAATAAATTATTATTATTATATATTAATGAGCTCTTAATCTAGATAAAAAATATCCCATGGGATATTTTAAATAACGAATGAATTTTTTTTATTAAAAAAAAAAAAAAAAAAAAGTTAAGTAATAAATTAAAGAAATTTTTCAAAATGGTTGTCGGCTTGAATGATCATACAGTACAAGCTGATATTGTATTCGTAATAGAAGGAACGGCTATTAATGGAGCATACCTTAACGATCTTAAAACTAATTATCTTTTGCCAACCTTGGAGTATTTTAGTCAAGGAAATCTAGAAGATAGGGATTATGTTTGCGAGGTAAATTTTAAAATTGAAAAGTTTAACAATCGAAAACTCTTTTATTAATTTTTTTTTCTAATACAGGGAACGAGTACTCTTTACGGTTTAGTGGTTTATCATGCAGCAGACATCTTACCAAAGTCAAGTTGCGACTGCTATGGACCTTATTCTAGTCCTCAAAAACTTTTAATGACTTTAGACAAATTAGAGTAAGTTTATTAAATTTTATAAAAATGGCAACACATTTGCATTTTGTTATAAAATTATTGCTTTTTAGACTTATCGGAGGAAAAGGAGAAAGTCATGCTAATATTGCAGAAGGACTAGCCACTGCTCTCCAAGCATTTGAAGATCTTCAACAAAAAAGAGAGGGTAACAATATAATAACCCAAAAACATTGTATATTAGTCTGCAATTCTCCTCCATACTTTATGCCAGTTATGGAAGCATCCACTTACTCTGGTCATACCATTGATCAACTTGCTGCTATATTAAATGAAGTAATTTTTATTTTACAGAAAAAACTTTTTTCGATAAACCATTTTGTGATAATTATTAATGACATAATTTATTTTTATTTTTAGCAAAACATAAATTTATCAATTTTATCTCCGAGAAAAATTCCTGCTATTTTTAAATTATTTGAAAAAGCCGGAGGTGATTTAACTCAATCGCAAAATAAAAATTATGCCAAGGACCCCAGGCATCTGGTATTGTTAAAAGGCTTTAGTTTAAAAGAAAGACCACTGAGTCCAACATCTGGTAATACAAATAATTTACCAATACCTTCGTTACCTAGCCCCCTACCAAATGATGGAAGTCCTATGCCTAACATGAATCAATTAATGCCAGGGCAACAGCATCCTGCTCCGCCAGGCTACAGACCAACTCAAGCTGCCCAGGTTATATTCTTTCCTTAAACGTTCAAATCAATTAAAAATTAATTTTAATTTTTTAAAATATCACTATTTTATGTAAAATATAGGTATTGAGTCAGCAACAAATGCAAGTTCAAGCCCAACAAGTCCAACAAGGGCAAATTCCCGGAAGGCCAACTTTCCAACCTGCTGGACCTCCTGGATATGCTGGTATTAGAACTCAAGGAGCTAGATGGCCTGTAAATTTTCCTGGTCCTTTGGCTCAACAAAGAACTTTTTTAAACGCTCAAGCTGGGCCTGGTGGTCCTGGTCAAGGATCAGCTCTTATTGCTCAGCTTACTCAACCTCCTTCTTCACAGTTCCCTTCCCAACGAATGGATGGTTGGTTTAAATGTTCATTTAAGAGTGGGCATTTTTTAAGGGCGAAATCATGATTTTAAATCCCATCATTTATTTTCCTAGGACCCGTATTAAGTCACCAAATGATTCCTCAACAACAGCAACAACAAATCAGAATGTCCGGAATGACCATAAATTCTCAGACCGGACAAATCGGGCACGGGCCGATTGGAAGTGTGTCATTAGGATCTCAAGGAGTAATGGGTCAAGGAATAGGTCCTCAAAACACAATCGTTCAACAACCTCCTATGACACAGGTTGCAAACTTTTTAATTTTAAATCCTGTTAAATTTAATAAAATAGGTTCTTAAAACTAAAAGGCAGAACTAGTTCTTATAGTTCTTATAATGTACGCTTGCAAATTTCAGACTGCCATGGGTGCACCCGGTGGAATGATGCCGCCAGGTTTAATTAATCAAAACATGCAGAACCAAGGACAAGGTATGCCCGGTCCCGGAGCACAACAATTGCAAGGTGCGGTTTCCAGTAGTATACAAACAAATCAAACAGGCCCACCTCCTACCTTTCAATCTCAACCGGGACAAGTTATGGGACCCGCCGGTAATCAAGGCATACAAACTGCTACGGCTATAGGAATGCCATCGACTCAAACAACAGTCATGACCGGACCGGTACCCACTTCACAAAATACAACAGGTCAACAAACGCAACCTCCAACATCTCAACAGCAAACTGGAGTTTCACAAGTTGGTCCGGGCACGGGAGTACCCGTGAGAGAGCGACACACCATTTGGCAAGGAGTTTTAGAATGGATAGAAAAAGGGAAAAATCCTAACGACAATCAAAAAGTCACCAAACACGTACCCTGCCAAGTGTCTTCTACCCCCAAAGAGGGAGAACCAGATTTGTGAGTCTATAAAGTAAACTTTTTTTCATTTTTTTTTTTTTCCTAAACTAATTTTTTATTTTTTATTATTTTTATTTTTAGAAAAGCAGATTCATGGCCGCAAAAATTAATAATGCAATTAATGCCGAAGCAATTGATTGGAAACATTGGCGGAGCTTATTTGAAAAATTCAACTTCCGTTTTATTTCATCCTCAACCTTGCGAAGCATTAGACTCATTAACTAAAGTCATGAGTTCAGGATTTGTAAGGATTGGAAATGAGATCAACTTTTTTGTGTCTTACCATGGAGTCCCTTTTGAAAACATTTATTTGTATTTCAGGCTGGTTGCGTTCATTTTACAAGCGCTCCCACGGCACCTGCATGCGATATAAAAGTACTTATTCTCTTATACACCGTCGAAAAACGTGCTTATTTAGGTTTTATTCCAAACGATCAGGTTGCTTTCGTTGACAGGCTAAGAAAAGTTATTCAACATCAAAAAAGTACCCAAGCTCTAATGAGGCAAAATCAGGTATCATTCCTTTTCGCATCGAAAAATTTTTTTTTTTTTTTTCTTTTTTTAATTACTTATTATATATGTATGCTGTGCAGGTTGGAGCAGCAGGAAATTCTCCGAATTCGGCCGTCCAAACTCCACCAATTTCTGCTCCAGGAACGGCAGCTAATCAACCTGGAATCATGATGTCTCAAACGAATACAATGGCCATGGGTGGCGGACAAATTACTCAAGTAATAATTTATATAATATGAAACGTTTTTAAGCGTTTCGAACGTTACTACGTGATACCGAAAATTTACAGGCTGCCGACGGTCATTTAGGTGGAGTTCAAGGTTTGGGACCGAATCCGGGACAGGGTCGCGGAGGTCCCATCATGGGCGGTCCGACTCAACGTCCTCCTTTCAATCAATTGGAAGCGGCTAGACAGCAAAACTTGGCGAAAATTCAACAACTTCAACAAACTTTGGAAGCTGCTCAACAGCAAGAAATGCAATACAAATCTCAACTCGAGGTAATGTTTACAAAAAAAAAAAAAAAAAAAAGGGGAGAGGGAAAGAAAGGAAAAGGGATGATGAGGAAATTTCAATTTATTTATTTTTAATTTAAAGGTGTTACCCCTAATTCAATGTTAAATGAAAATTTGCTTTATAAAACATTACAGATAATTAATCATATGAAAATTCAACAAATACAGCAAAATTTAGAACAAGCACAACAGCAAGAAGTCCATTATCAAGCTCAACAGGCTCAAATGGAGGTAAATTTTTGAAAGAAATAAATTTCGCTTGTTGCATATTATTATTATTATTATTATTATTATTATTTTTTTTTGTTTTTAATTTTATTTATTTATTTATTTATTTTTAAATAAAATATTAAAAAAGTGATACGATTTACAGCAAGAGCAAAAACAACAATTTAGAGCGCAATTACAACAAAGACAACTCACTCCGCAACAAATTCAACAGCAGCAACAACAACAACAACAGCAGCAGCAAC